ATCAATCAAACTTTGGTAACAAGAAATATGATTTTACAAAGTGGCACCTAGTACCGGACATTTCAAAATAACCAGCATTGAACCCATATGTAGCCATCTCCACACTCTGGAGTGTTTGCACATGCGTCTTTGACGAATATTTTTAGATATTGCAAAAAAAATCACTATTTATCCACCCTTTTGGCTGGGCCACACCGATGCTCTCAGCTAGAGCATTCATCATAAGATTTTCATTATTTGACTAGGAAATACGAAAAATGGGGGTATGTAGTGACCGTTAGCACTACAGAACAAAATTAAAGAATTAGAATAATTTACGTCAATTCTCACAAGAAATATCAATATGTTTACTGTTCGGCGCTAAGGAACCACTTAGTGTCCGGTGCTAAGGGGACAGACATTTTCGTTCATTTGGTGGTACCTACTAAAATTGTTTAAAATATCTAATAATATTCTACCATTTTACGGATAACAATCAAGTACTACTTTTATCTTTGAATACCACTCAAATGTAAATGCAAAAATATACTAGAATTACTTCCATTGATATTTAGGTGACGCCGTGATTTTGCGCCTAAAACAGCAAAGGGTTGCTTCTGCCGTGGCCGTATGCGTCACAGGTGAGTCTTGGCGCGTGATCTTGCACCTATGTGCCCCCGCGCTCCTTTCACTCGAATTTTGATATAAAAAGATTTATACTCGCTTAAATAGTACGTGTTAAATAGAGTATCCGGCCTTAGGTGCCGTCCGGCGTTACGCGACTTTTCTTTATAATATAATAGCAAGTGAAAATAACCTTCCGGAGACATTTCGGTAATAATTATCTCAAAGGTCCAGATAGGTATATATATTTTCTATATACTGATACTGTTATTTGTTAAAGAAGCCTCTTGAAGGATTTTATCTAAAGCATTTAAAAAACATTTGATTCGTATTTACAATATATAAGACACTATAAGGTTTAGTGAAAGGCAGGTCTGGCGACTTTGGAGCGAAAAACCATAATTTTACATTTTATTTATACTTTACTCTTATGTATTAGATTTTCTATCAAGATTCTAACAATATCAATATATTTCTATTTATTTATGTTTTATAACAATATATAAAAACTATCATTTCAACTATTGAATTGAATTTTATAACATCAAGTAACATTTGATTTGAGTTTATTGTAAATATATACGAAAGTTTGACAAATAGAAAATCAATCATTGTTTTCAAGAACTATAGTTTGATTGTACTGAGTTTTAGACTTAATATTAAATGCCTAACATTAAAAAAGTTGCTTCTGATTTTAAAAAGTACAAAGTAAACTAACAAAAATATTGCTGATCAAAAAAAAAGTGGCACAAGCGTACCCAGTATCCCTGAAAAATGTGTATGTGTTTTAAAAATTTAATAATAATTTAAAGATAGATAGGTTTTAGATCATAATAATAATTATATAAAAATATTATCATTGCTCCAGGATTAAATTCCTGATAGATACTGGATAAAAAACCATTTTCATTAGATTATCCGTCTCAAAAGGAAGTTTCTGGTTGAATAAAATGGATATTTATTTGATCATACTTGTTTGAATTATATTCAACTATTTAAGATATTTTTTTTTTCAAATAATCCAGAAGAAAATCATCATACATTTTAAATTTGATGTATTTCCTCTAGAATATATCTACTGGGATAAAATCAGAACGTGGATTCTCATTTTTGTTAAGTCCCCTGGAGATTAATTTATCAAGAGTAATTTCACAAATTTCCATCATGTCCTATAAAAATATAAAAGTAATATAATATAAAAAATATATTGACTTCCATATAAAAATCTCAAATAAAAAATTATGTTTTCGCAAGATATTAAATTAATTTATCATTTGTTATTGCTATAAATTTATTTATTATTTATTTGATAAGACATTAAGGTTTTGATTAACAAAAATAAATTATAACAAAAAAAAATTATATGATATACTATTTTTTTATTTATTCATGAAGCAATAATCATAAATGATTTTAGGGGTCTAATAGTAGGGGTGTAATACTAAAGTTTATGACAGTAAAAACTAAAGCAAAATTATTTTATAGAATAATTGGCACATCTTCAGTCTCTGAAATAATAAAGCTGAAAGAAACATATGAATATTAAATATAAAATTCGTTCACTATTAACAGTCTAATCAATACCCGTTTAGCCTAAATTTCATTTGCAATGTTCGACTAGTTTTTTGATCGGTAAAAATATTAATTATTATTAGATTATCAATTAGAAATAAACGACAGCGATTAATAATGGTGAGATTACAAAGGAAAATATTTGATAATTAAAGTATAAAATTTATTTAATAAACATTATTTCAGATTTTTGTCAACCTTGTTTAAAATTTGCAATAAGGATATAAATTATATAGGAACTTATCGTTTAATTTTGAAACAAAGACACAAAATATAGATACCTGATGATCACTTTAATTAATAGTTTTCTAAACTTTAGCAAATTGTTTCCATAAATTGTGACATGGTTCTTATATTGGGAAATGTTAATACACTACCCACAATAATGGATATTCGCCCAATGAACCAATTAATGAAAATTCAAATTTATATGATTTCGGTTTATCAAATTTCAGGTTATAACACACAACTATAATATGGTTCGTGTAATTAACATTATTAGTGACATAAAACGTAATTTAATACAAATATACCATTACCATATGCACTTTAACGAATATAAACGTCAGCCGCTGTTGGTATTTAATTACTGAAATTACAGAAATAATTCAGAGCATAAAAGCATTCCAAATATGTGACAGACGTTAAATGTTTAATATCAAATAAATGTCCATTATTTGATGGACAGTAGACACTATATTATATCCAAATAACGTTATCGCCATCAATTGTTATTGGAAGCTATTTATTTCGAATTGTTTCAATGAAAAATTAGATTTATATTTATATCACAACTTTTTGGCTACCAAAGATTAATTCATTATGTGCCCAAATAATAATATGTTTGCATTGTGTAGATTTATACTTTATTTTTTTTAAATTTCGTAAACTACTCTACTAAAATTGCAAAAAATGAAACATTGTTAAAGTCTTAATCTTTGCATAACTAATATAGAATATTGAAGACAACATAAGCTTAATTTGTATCTTATTTTAATCACAAAACCAGAAATTGTAGTATTTTTGTTATATGGTAGGGCGGGGCACAAAGGTCCAATTTGTCTTTGAGCACTTAAATTGTGAAAACCAAACCTATTATAACACAACAAATAACACACATCAAACAACTATCCTACCATGTTCAGTAAAACTCCCAGTTAATCATTGTAATAATGTGTTTTTTGCTGTTTTTCAAAAATGTGTCACCTGGCCTTTTTTTATCCCATGGGTGGTGTAAAATGATACAGCCAGGGCCAAACATGTCCAATGTATTATTTTTAGTTTTAAAGAGATTTTACAAAATAATAGCTACATTATTCAATCAATGAAAGATATAAATTTAATGGGTACATTTTTTAACTTGATTTGGTATTTTGTCAGAAATAATCATCGGTAGAGTTAAAATAACTATTTATTTAACTTATTTCTTGTTTTTTTACTATTTCTTATCGTTCACACCTTTGGCAGGGTAAAAGCTCAGATGATCCTTTTCACCTCACCCACATGTAATCTTTTATAGAGTTCATATAAAAAAAACTGTTGAATTTAACTTGAAAATAACAATTCATATTATAAAACATTTAAATAACTTACAATCGTGCCTCGAGGCAAATGCTGGAACTTTCCGTACCATAATTAATAATCTTGGTAGGGAACCCAAAAAAAATTACACAAAATGTGTACACATTATTCAAATCTCTATAAACATCTGGTAATTTGATGTACATATGTCGAATAAACATTTTTGACCGCCAAGTGACATGTTTTTAACTTATTTTTATTGAGAGTCCATAACCGCTGGATCTGTCTTTCCAAAAATTTATTCAGTTCTTCATCTTGTCAATACAAGTAAAATGTTCTTTAAATTATTACAATCGGACGCTCGGAGTTACACTTAAAAATTATATTAAGGTCTCACAATAGAAAAAAGTTACAACGATTTTTTTTTCGATTTTTAAACATTGCCATTTGCAAAGTACCTATCATAAGAATCAAGGTGATGGCTGGTTATACATTTTTTTTCTTGTACTTTCAAATATTTTTGTTTAAAAATTCTTATTTTTACTTGTTTTGAAGATGGTGAACTTTTTTACCCGCGGATCGCTAAGTTTCGCTCTGCTCTATATACTATAATCTGTTTATAATTACGTTAATTATATTATTTTGATCAGCAATAAATCTATGCAAAAAATAATAATTATTATGTTAAACTAAATATGAAGTATGAATATATAGGGTGGTCCTTAATATAGATGTTTTTGAATTTGCTTGCACCGGGGGCTCAAATTTTTTCAAATTGATAAAAAAAGTTCTCTGAAAGTTTTAACTCTTAATATTACCTTTAAGATAGTCTGCACTTCAACCAAAGTATCTATGGAAATAACATGGGTAAAATTTCATGTTTCTCTCCAAATTTTATAACCTAGTGACAATTGAATAAAAATTTTGAGAAGAACATTGTATTTGCTTGTTTTGATAATAAGTAAAAAAAATTGATATTTTCATAAAAAGTATTTACTTAAAAAGATGAACCATGAAATTTGTTGGAGTGCGTACTATGTTAGAGTTAATATTAAGAGCTGCATATATATATTATATATATATATATATATATATATATATATAGTCATTATAATGCATTTTTTAATGCTGTTATAATTTTTTTGCTGCACGAGGAGCAAGATTAATCACGAAACCGAAAATCAGATTCTTTAGCAGCCCCAAAAATATGCGAAGACTTATATAAAATAATATTAGAGACTATTTCTGCAATAAAATAAAAATTATTGTTTTTGTTTTTATACTCATATATTTTTATCTTCCAGTGCCCCGGAAATACTTGCCGCCCGTGGTTCGGCCTTACAAAGTAGCCCTGACATTGGCCTGCATGGAATTGGCGTCCGGGATCGCGCTGTCCTTGTTGGCTTTGTGGCTTCTGATGTGGGCACCCAATGCGGACCCGAGGCATAATCCTTATTGGAGTGGACTCACTGTAAGTTAAATAACTCATGTCAGTTTTATTAGTGTTGTTGGACGAGATTTAAATATACAGTCAACCCTCGGTTAACGCGGCAAGTCTGTACTCTGTACCGTCCAATATGGGAACAGTGCTATAAAAAACTCGTATTTAACATACAATTCAGGCTAATTCGTAGAGCGTTCTATGGAAACTTATATAGTGCAGTATGGGAACCGTGCTATGAGAGACTCAGAGTTAGTACAAATCGCACCATTTTTATCGTGCTGTATGGAGACCAAGAAATACAACTTGAAGTAGGAGTAATACGGACGAAATGACATGTAGGACATTGACACCTAATTCAAAAATTGGCGCGACGCCGTAGTCGGTTCAAACTTGTTCTTAGACAGCTATTATATAATCAGGAATGTCTAAAAGATAAAAGTCGATAACAAAACTTACATTAATACCCATTTGATATCAAGTTCCTATAATCACTCATAGGTTGTTCGAAGAAATTATGGGCTGTTGAACAAAAACCGCCTAATAAGAAGTCCGTGTAGTCGGAGGGATGTCGGATTTTTAGCTCCGCGTAGTATGGGAACCCAGAGTGGCGTGTTAACCGAGGTTTGACTGTATATTACAATTGGAAACAGAAACACGCAATAGAAAGAAGCAAGTAGCAAAACTGGTAGTAATTATTAAAATAAATTTTCGTAGTTAACATAATCATGCTACAACTAATATGCCTCTTCTTGTATAAGAATTTTTCATCTTGCTGCTTAAGGCAATTGATGATATTATTTAAGAAAATGAAGCACTTGCGGTAAAGCGAAATTAAATAATGAACAATATTCCTCAATATGAAATGTCTCTGCGACAATAATTTACTTCTCTCTAGAAATGCAATGCACAGGTGATTCAATTTATCAAATTTTCTAGGGCACAAATGTTTTAAGTTCTTACATAACTTAATGTAAATTTATTTTTATTTATATTTTAAAACATCTTATACAAATATAGGTTAACAAATAAAATATCTGCTAAAATATAAAAAATCTTATATAGATCAGGTTGAAATATCAAATCGTTTGATTAATTTAATTTAAAAGAGTTGTTCTGAAGTAGAGTAATAAATATTTAAAAATATCTTTCATTTTGTAAATAATTGTTTCATAACAAAGTATTTCAATAATAGTCTATATTGTGGATTTATTGAATATATACGTTATTCAGTAATTCCATAAGACTTCCACAACAATTTAGTTTTTGAATGCTTAATGAAGAGCTTCAACATATGAAAAATAAATAATGAACATAGAAATTTCAATTAAGTTTACATTGAATCTATTTTCTCTATTTGTAAATCATAAATTTAATTTTGATTTATTTCATAATGATTTCGAGAAAATGTTTTTTATAGATTACTAGCTGTTCCTGTTCACGCTTTGCCGTGATTTAGTTTAAATTAAAAAGTTGAACAAAGATGTATATTTGTTACATTTAGTTTAACGTTACTATTATCTGTTCAACAATTTGATACTGATAGCCTCCCTTAGTTCATATTTTGTCTGGCGCTGCAGTCACGCACATAGCGACAAACGCGCCATTTGTAAATGCCATTTGATTAACGTCTCATCTTTCTATAAACATACTCTATGCTTCAAGTGTCAAATAATGAATTAAATTTTTGTTAAAATCATTTATCATATTTTAAAAGATTGTTGATTAAAGCAGATCTTTATTTAGAATAGGAATAGTTTTAAAATATTTAGTGAGTGCAAGCAGTGAAAATATTCGAAAATGTCAGAAGAAACATTTATGTCAGTGAATTATCAGGCAATTAAAATTGAACGACCAGAATATATACCGGAAGATATTAAAGTCGAAATTGAAGATGTTACTGTTAAATCTGAATCGTTTTCTGAGGATGATGGAACGTGTTTAGAAAGATTTATGAATTCCGAAGTGACAATTGAAAATGAAGTCAAACAGGAGTCTTTTGATTGTGATATTTGTAATCAATCATTTGCAGAATCCCATCATTTAACAAAGCATATGGTCGATCACATGCCTAATCTTACCAAAGAACACCCTTACAAATGTGAAATCTGCGAAAAGACTTTCAAACAATCAACTGCTTTGAAAACTCACATGTTTATTCATAGCGATGAGCGTCGCTATGAATGCAAGGAATGCAATAAGACATTCAGACATTCAAGTAGTCTGAACAAACACATGCTAATTCACAGTGATGAGCGCCCCCATCAATGCAGTATATGCGAAAAGACTTTCAAACAAACAACTGCTTTGAAAACTCACATGCTTATTCATAGCGATGAGCGTCCCCATGAGTGCAAGGAATGCAATAAGACATTCAGACATCCAAGTAGTCTGAACAGACACATGCTTATTCACAGTGGTGAGCGCTCCCATCAATGCAGTATATGCAAGAAGACATTCACACATGTATGTAATCTAAAAAGTCACATGCTCATTCACAGTGGTTCGCTCATTCGCCCCCATGAATGCAATGAATGCGACAAAACATTCAAAAAATTAGATCATCTGAAAAAACACATGCTGATTCACAATGGTGATCGCCCTCATCAGTGCGATGTATGCAATAAGACATTCACACGTTTAAGTCATATGAAACGTCACATGTTAATCCACAGTGGTGAGCGCCCCCATCATCAATGCAATATATGCAATAAGACATTCACACTATTAAAAAGTCTGAAACTTCACATGCTTATTCACAGTGGAGAACGTCCCCATGAATGCAATATTTGTAATAAGACATTCACACAAATAGGTAATCTGAAAAGTCACATGCTCAACATTCATAATGGTGAGCGACCCCACATATGCAATATATGCAAGAAGACATTCACAGAATTAGATAGAATGAATCGTCACATAAAGCTGATACACAAAAGGGTAAGCTCCCATGAATGCACTATGTGCAATAAGATATTCCCACGATTAAATAATCTGAAAAAACACATGCTGATTCGTCACAGGGAGCATTCTTAAAAATGTGGAATATGCAATAAGGAATTTACTCAAGAGTTTTGAAGAGACATATGGCCCTTCATAGTATGAAGCATGATGAAAATCAGTAAAATTTGTTAAATTGTATTTAAATATTTGGAAACATGTATGAAAATATTTGGAATACTTTTACATGTAATGGAATGTACAAAATAGTATGAAATATAAAGTAAAAATATGCATGAATTAATAATCTAGGCATTTATTATATATTATATTATTTTTTTCATAGATTTTTATAGATTAGTATGGATTAGCAATCACTGGTTCAGGATTTAGCCGACCGCTTTGGTTTGGATAATGATTAAAATATACTTATAATAATGATGATGATGATTTAAGAATAATCATAGTTTTTAGTATCATATAGTCTAATTTAACTTGAAAATAATTCATATATCAGTGCGTTATATATAATTTTCAATAATTTCATACTTTAATTCAATAGACATCACCTTTGTTTTTGGCCCCATGGTTATAAAAATAAATAATATTTTATAAATGTACAAAATTAAGAAACACTATTTCCACGCACACATATATATATATATATATATATATATATATATATATATATATCTATATAAATGAAATAAAATGACTATTTATGAAATAAATTATTCAGTCTAAATATTTCTATGGTTGGAAAACCATGATATTAGTTAATTTCAGCTTCAGTAAAATGACTTTCCAGCACTATTATTGCAAAAAATTTAATCAAATTTGTCTAACTATGATTCTAATTTGATACTTTTTATAACAAAAATAGTTAGAATTTTGTTTTGTAAGAAATGATATTTTGATATGGGTATTTAATTTAATAATTGGATAATTATTTAATGAATAATTGATTGAACAGGTACAAGTCACCACATAAACAAAATTTTAAGCATTAAATCATTTATAATATTAAATCACCAGATATACCCCAGATTAAGAAATTAAATATTAATAATAACCATAGATAAAAGAAGAGTATAATAACGTTCATTCAGTTTTACGGCCTCGACAGAAAATCAAACTCAATTACAATTTTAATGCTGATATATTTACCTAATAAATTTACATAAAGTATTACAAATATCGGTTGAAAAATAACTAAAAAATATAATGTATTACCAAATTTAAAATATGTTCAGAAATTTAATGCATCTGAAAACAATTCACATAAAATTTGAACTTAAATGATAAGGTATGTTTAATTATTAGTAAGAAAAATGTAATTCAGAACTTACAATTGCCAGAAAACAACTACTTAAGTCATAAAGTTTATAAGGAAAATTATGGGCAATGAATGAAAATAAATTAAACTGTTGACAATAAATTCGTTTTAAAAAAATTATAGTGTATAATTTTTAATATACATAATTGTAATGAACATACTTCGATATATTTGGCAAGCATATTTGTTTGTTTGACATGTTTTTATGTGGCTGATGTGGTTTAAATCAGTCTTTAGGGTTAGTCAATATATCTATATATATATATATATATATATATATATATATATATAACAATTGCCCTGGTTATTAATAAATGCATATAATTTAATGTTTACTGTATATTTCATACTATTTGTATATTACATGCAAGAATATTTTATGACATATTCAATTTAACAGATACGTTTAGATTCATTGATTTTCATCACACTCCCGACTATGAAGTGCCATGTGTTTCTTTAAATTGCCTGATTGATTAAATTCCTTATTGCATATTTCACATTTATAAGACCGCTCTCCATGTTGAATCTGTAAATGTTCTTTTAGAGAACTTAATCGTTTGAATGCCTTATTACATTTATTGCATTCATGGGGATGTACTTCATTGTGTATCACCATGTGACGTTTCAGACTACCTGATTGTGTGAATGTCTTCTTGCATATACTGCATTCATGGGGGCGCTCACCACTGTGAATGAGCATGTGTCTGTTCAGGTGGCTTGTTTGTATGAATGCCTTATTACATATAATGCACTTATGGGGACGCTCATCGCTATGAATAAGCATGTGAGTTTTCAAAGCAGTTGTTTGTTTGAAAGTCTTTTCGCATATACTGCATTGATGGGGGCGCTCACCACTGTGAATTAGCATGTGTTTGTTCAGACTACTTGAATGTCTGAATGTCTTATTGCATTCCTTGCATTCATGGGGACGGTCATCGCCATGAATGAGCATGTGAGCTTTCAGAGAGCCTAATTGTGTGAATGTCTTCTTGCATATACTGCACTCATGGGGTCGCTCACCACTATGAGTTAGCATGTGAACTTTCAGACTGCCCAATTGTTTGAATGTCTTATTGCATTCATTGCATTCATGGGGACGTTTACCGCTATGAATGAGCATGTGACTTTTTAGATAACATACATGTTTGAATGTCTTTTTGCATATACTGCATTGATGGGGGCGCTCATCACTGTGAATTAGCATGTGTTTGTTCAGACTACTTGAATGTCTGAATGTCTTATTGCATTCATTGCATTTACGTGGACGCTCACCACTGTGAATAAACATGTGAGTTTTCAAAACACTTGATTTTTTTAAAGTCTTTCCACAGATTTCACATTTAAAAGGGCGTTCTTTGCTTTGGTTAGGCATGTGATCGACCACATGCTTTGTTAGATGATGGGATTCTGCAAATGATTCATTACAAATATCACATTCTGAAGACTCCTGTTTGACTTCATCTTCAATTGTCACCTCGGAATTCATAAATCTATCTAAACGGGTATCATCGTCTTCAGAAAACGATTCAGATTTAACAGTAACATCTTCAATTTCGAGTTTAATATCTTCCGGTATATATTCTGGGCGGTTCAGTTTTAATTGCCTGATCATTCATAGACTTAAAAATATCTCTTAATAATCTTTAAAATATTTAATACAACAAATATACTCTTAAAAATTTACTATTTTAATATCAATATAATATTAATACAATTTTATAAAATGAGATGCATAAAATTAATATTTATAGATTCACGATAAATACATTATTTAGCGTTTGAATTGAACGAGTGGCGCTTAATTTAATAAACAATGATTATACATTGGTTAACAGCAAATGTATATACTTTAATGTCTTTTTCATAATAAAATAATTATGCTTTATTTACTGTCTAAAACTCATTATAATAGCAAAATAAATAAATAGCTGATTTGTAAAAAAAGATTTTACGTTGTTTCGTCCCTTTCATTTCTCTATCAATCTAATTTGCAAAAATTCCTCATATATATTTTTTTAAACACTTCTTTATTAAATACAGTACTAAATAAATTATTAATTAATAATTATAAATAATTATAATGTACAATGTTATGTAAAAATATAATTAATATTATTATTTCATTCAGGAAAATCATTGTTACAAATGACAAAATGTATTATATTTTCATTTTCTCATCAAAATTTTTCAAGAAAGCTTTTACTTACTTGCTAAAATTTTGTATCTCGAATTTTGCTCTTATGTCAAAGCAACGAATCACTTCTTTAGCGGCTTGTATCTCGAAAAACTCGTTTGTCAGGTATCAATATTCAGACTTTTTATTTAAATAAATTTTATTACAAAACAAATAAATAAACTTAAAATGCATGTCTTCATGGTTACAATATAACAATTATGAAAAATTTAGAAATATGAATTTAATAAAACATCTTGGCTTTATTACTCAGACTTGTTGATGATTTTTCTTTATTCAATCTTGCTCTTCCGGGCTGATATATTGCTATACTAGGTCGATCTTGCAACAAAAAAAATAAATAACTGTAAAAATTATATCCTTATACTTGCTTTGCAAACCTTATATCTTATTCTGCGTTCAGTCCTGGGATCAGATTTTTTTGAATCCTTAGGTTTTACATCATCGTTTTCTCTGGCCTGATTGTTCATTGTGTTGTTCCTCACTTGGTTTAGTAGAATCCGTTTATTCCTGATCATTTTCCTTATTTATTTCTTTCTATTTATTTTTTCAAAGGTTCTTCACTATTTGCTTCACAAATGCTATAACTGAATCACTTTTTGATGTATTTATCACATCTTTGACCATAGCATCTGATGCATCATTTTTTTCTAAACTATCTTCAGATCAGAGATGTTAATATTTGCTTTGATCACCATCTGTGTCATCAATCTTATCTGTTTTGAGTCTTTCACGGATTCAGTTTTATCATTATCGATTTCATTATCCTTTTTTGGCTATTTTTTCAGCTCATTTCTTCTAGCTTCTCTTTCCTTTCTGACTTCACTATCTTTTTTGACCTGAAACTTTTTCTGAGAGCATAATCTACATATATATAAAAATAAGTCGGGTTTTCCTTCCTGACGATATAACTCAAGAACGCACAACCCGATTTTGACAATTTTGCATTCGTTGGAAAGGTCTCGGCCTCCGCAAGGTTTATAGCAAAAATTAGTGGTGCCTTAATGCAAGTTGCTGAAACTTCACGCACCGTAATTATAAATTCGAGTAATGACATTAGTGAGAATTATCAGAATTATGCTTGGTTAAGTCAACAAGCAATTCTTGCCGCAAAGAATAATGATGTACACGCACTGAATTTCACCATTCAATCAAAAATTGCTGGCGATTTGGTGACATACCAATGATTCCAATTGGTCTTCCGTTTAACTTCAAACGATTGCAATTTCCAGTTTGCCTTGCGTTCGCAATAACAAGTCGCAAGGCCAATCGCTTAGTGTTTGCGGGATAAATTTCAAACTGATTATTTAGAAAATCATTGTTTTTCAATTGGGCAGTTATACGTTGCCTGTTCACGAGTTGGAAAACCATCCGCTTTGTTAGACCAAAAAACAAAAAATGTGGATTACCAAAGAGCACTTCAATGAAACGGATAATTTGCGGATTCACTTTTATTTACTTAGAGAAGTTCGACTAAAAACACTTCATTATTGTAATCGAAATAAATTCATTACTGTTGTGAAATAAAATCAAAATTTTCCTCTTCAAATATAAAACAAACAAAAATTTCTTCATCTTTCTCACGAAACCATCTGGTGGCAAAACGGAGTTCGTCGGGTTTGCTAGTTTTTTATAAATCTAAGATGGGGCTCAACCGAATAAAGGTTGGGAAACCCTGCTTTAAAGGCAACAGATAAATTATTTTATGCTTTATTATTTTATGTTTTAATTTAATACATTGTTTTGTTATTACAGCTTGCTCTTTCTGGTGGATTAAGCCCATTGATGTTAAGCTGCTGCCGAAAGGAATATCCTGGATCTAATGAATATTGTGTTGCAGCTTTCAAGGTACCCACTTATATAAATACAATTTTTGAAGAACATCGTTTAATTTCCTGAGTTATTTTAGTAAAATAACGAATGTTGCCTTCACTTCTGTAGGATTAGGAGCTATCTACCCTACGTTGGTGGAATAAAATAATAACGTAATAATAATGATAATAATTATACTTGTAATGCCTGAAAGTATTTTTCTAATTGTAAACTAAGATAATCATCAACTCGAAATCTTAAAGGGGTAGATTTTTTTGATTATCTACATTACATGCATAATAATAATTTGTTTTAATGAACTAAGAGACAAAGGGTATAAGCGTGTTTCCATACAGAATTGGCCCCACCCTGGTATTTAAATAATTTTGATGCCATTTTATAGGTATTTTCGAGAAAATCCGATATACCAAATTTCAAATCCGTAGCTCATCATTTGGCCGAGATATTGAAAATGTGTGAAAGTGGCCCCTTTTTTCAAAGTCGTTTTTTGTCGCAACTATGAAAGATATCGACAAAGAAATAACTGGACTCTATTCACATCAATGTGTACTATATTATTGATGAAAAATATTGTTTAATAATTATTTTTTAGTGCATGAAAAAGTGAAAATAATTTTTTGTTTTAAATTTTCCGGTAGTGCGGTTGTTTGGACTAATTTTTAATTAGCATCATTAGAAAGGATATTGAATTTCCTTTTAGTGTGCAAAAATTTTGTTTTATTTCATGTGGTAGAACACATTCAAAAATAGGAAAAACCTGAGCAAGTACACGCTCGCGCTCATATAGAACCCGTGTAAGTCGTCTCTCATTCGCAATGACTAGCAACAGCATTGCTCGCCGCGCATCGTGATAAATTAAAACATTTCTAATAAAATACAGATATTATATATGTATAATAATAACTATATTTTATTTAAATAAATATATATTATTTATGTATTGCACAAGTATATTATATTATTTAATCATCTTTAATAATTAATTAATAATTAACCTATTATTAATTATTAATTATTAATTCATTATTAATTATTAATTATCACTAAATAAAGAAAAAATAAATTGATAAAAATATACATAATAATAGTATATCGGTATATGATTTCTTCATGCTACAGCAATGTATAGAAATGCAAGTATACTAAGTAGTCTGAAAATATTTTAAATATCTTGAAGTTTTTTTTAAATTAAATAATATGTAAAGATATATTGAATAGAATATCTCTACTAAAAATAATAAAAAAAACTTCAAGATATTATTTAAAATATTTTCAGAACTAACACATTCAGACATACATTGCTGTAGCATGAATAGAATATCATATACCGATATACTATTATTATGTATATTTTTTATCAATTTATTTTTTATTTATTTAGTGATAATTAATAATTAATAATGAATTAATAATTAATATTAATTAATAGGTAATAATTAATTAATTAATTATTAAAGATGATTAAATAATATAATATACTTGTGCAATACATAAATAATATATATTTATTTAAAAAAATATAGTTATTATTATTATACATATATAATATCTTGTATTTTATTAGAAATGTTTTAATTTATCACGATGCGCGGCGAGCAATGCTGTTGCTAGTCTTGCGAATGAGAGAGACGACTTACACGGGTTCTATATGAGCGCGAGCGTGTACTTGCTCAGGTTTTTCCTATTTTTGAATGTGTTCTACCACATGAAATAAAACAGAATTTTGCACACTAAAAGGAAATTCAATATCCTTTCTAATGATGCTAATTAAAAATTAGTCCAAACAACCGCACTACCGGGAAAATTCAAAACAAAAATTATTTTCACTTTTTCATGCACTAAAAAATAATTATTAAAAAATATTTTTTATCAATAATATAGTACACATTGATGTGAATAGAGTCCAGTTATTTCTTTGTCGATATCTTTCATAGTTGCTACAAAAAACGACTTTGAAAAAAAGGGGCCACTTTCACACATTTTCAATGATATCTCGGCCAAATGATGAGCTACGGATTTGAAATTGGTATATCGGATTTTCTCGAAAATACCTATAAAATGGCATCAAATTATTTAAATACCAGGTGGGGCCAATTCTGTATGGAAACACGCCCATACCCTTTATTTCCATCTACTAAAATTCAATTAAAGAACAGACATGCAACAGCCTCAGCCAACTTGAACTTTTTTTTCAATACTGTTCTTTAAATTTATATTCTTTAAAAGATTTCAAATATTTTTTTAATATTTAAATTCAGATATTTTTTTAATTCTTTAACAGTGTTATTTTCTAGGATGGGTATAATGAGAAGTATCAAATTAATATTTAATAGTTGGTTCGATGTACGTTTTATAACTTATGTCTCATATCAAGTGAAAATTAGGGCATTTGCTGAAGTCATTGTTGAAAAAAATGGAAGTGGTTTTAAACAAAAACATTTTTTGGGCATTTTTGTTATTAATGATGTTACTTATGGAACACTTTTTATGTTTCCAAACTTACGATATTAAGTGGAATTTGTCTTAAGTCAAGTTGCCAAAACTTTATTCCAAATTTTATTAAACCTTCAATATTGTAGAATGTTTTTTTAGAATATCATAAACTCTAAAAAAACGATTCAGCCAACCAAATTATCAAAAACAATCACGATTTCCAACTACTTAATATATTTTGATCCGTTTCTAAATATTCAAATCATTCAAAATTTGTTCAGGATTTTTGGCGATTATGGGAACGAACAATTTTGCACTAATTTGATTATTAGAAAAAAAAAAACGGTTTGGCTGATCGTCTCTTGAAAATAACAGCTATCGTGAGTACTTTTTTAGTTTCATCAAATGTCTTTTAAATGATTAAAATCAGTGCAGACGTTTTTGGAAA